TTCCAACCCAAACCATTCCATGATTTTCTGGCTTTGTTAAACGAGCCAGGCTGGGATTTGGTGGCATTTTACCCCGCTGAGTGTGGAGATGCTCTCCTGCTGTCCCTTCCCAGCCTCTGCCATGATCCCAGCTCCCTGCCTACCTCAATTTCCCATCTCTTCCAGATGCTGCATGGCCAAGCTCCCAGATTTTGGGTGGACTTTTTATTTCAGCATTTTACTGTTAGCTCCGAACAAACCTCTCACTTTCACATCTCGGCTGCTGGGTCACGAATTCTCTGTGTATCACGGAATTATTCCGGCTGGAAAAGCCCTCCAAGGTCACCAAATCCAACCATCCCCCACCATTCACACATCCCTCCCTGACCCAGGGAACAACCCAGGGATAACACAACCCGGGAAATACCAGGATGAAAATAACACCACGAGGTGTGGCAGTGCTTTAAAGCCAGCCACTGACCCAGTTTAGTCCCTGTGTCCCTCCCTGGGTGTCCCGAGGTGCTGTGACATCCGTTCTTCTCCCCTGGTGGAGAGGAGCTGGAGCTTCCCCGGACCACGATGGCACACAGGGAACCCCAAAGTTCACAAACACCCCAGAGAATCTGAGATTCAGGGAATAATCCGGGTTGGAAGGGGCCTCTAAACCCACCCAGCGCCAGCCATGGGCACCTCCCACTGTGCCAGCCTTGGAGACTCCCAGGGTTTGGTTGGATTGGCCATGGATTGACCATGGGGAGCACTTTGGGGTGATTTGGGGTCTCTCTTTCTCCTCGAGGACGAGGTGATGAGTTTAGGGTTGGGGCCACACTTCCAGAAGAACACTCAAGGCCCCTGGATCCCTGGGAATGCCCAAGGCCAGGTTGGGCATGGGAGGTGTCCCTGCCCATGGATGGGGATGGGATTTAAGGTCCCTTCCCACCCAAACCATCCCGTGACTCCACCAGGATTCCCTCCCGCCCTGCTCCTCCGTGCAGGCACTGAAAACTCTTAAATTCCCACTTTCTGTTTTTTGGCTCGCTCTCAGTTGCCACACCAGCTGGAAAACGACCTGGGAGGTCTGCAGGGAGCAGGAGTGGATCCTTCCCAAGGCAGCTTGGAGCTGGACCAGCGGAGATCATCGGGGAGACCCACCACGGGCAGGCCGGGCGGGGTGACAGGCACAGCAAATCCCGCTTTTCCCGGGCAAATCCCGGCCCAGCACTGGCACAGACCCCCGGGAGCCATTCCCGAGCCCCCCGGGCGCCGTTCCCGGCACGGCTCCAGGATCTGGGATGGAGCCGTGAGGAGCATTTGAACGACGGAGCTCAAAGGATGGATTGAGGGAGCCCAGGGGCTCCCGCGAGGTCAAAGTGTGGAAGTGGGAGGGAATGGGATGGGAATGGGGAAATGCAGAGATGCAGAAATGTAAACATATAGAAATACAGAAATGTAGAAAGACACAAATACAGAAATATGTAGGAATACAGAAATATGTAGAAATACAGAAATGTAGAAATGTAGAAATGTAAACATGGAGAAATACAGAAATGTAGGCATATAAACATATAGGAATACAGAAATGTAGAAAGACACAAATACAGAAATATGTAGGAATACAGAAATATGTAGAAATACAGAAATGTAGAAAGACAGAAATACAGAAATATAGAAATAAAAGTACAGAGACAGAAATAAATAGGAAGGAAAATATAGAAATAAAAGTACAGAAACAGAAATAAATAGGAAATAAAATCTAGACATAGGAATTAAAAATAGGAATAATTAGAAAGAAATAGAAATAAAAATATAGAAATAAATAGGAATGAAAATATAGAAATGTGGAAATATAGAAATGTGGAAATATAGAAATAAAAGTAGAGAAACAGAAGAAAATCTAGAAATAGAAATACAGAAACAGAAATAAACAGGAAGTAAAATATAGAAATAAAGAGAAATATAGAAATAAACAGAAAATAAAATCTAGAAATCTAGAAATAAATAGAAATAAAAATATAGAAATAAATAAAAACAGAAATGTAGAACTGAAAATAAATAGAAATACAGAAATAGAATGGAATAAAATCAAATATTTTCAGATCACAACGTGATCCAACTGCCCAACCACTTCCCAACCAAAAACTGTTCATGGCATTGCCCAAATGGTGAAAAAATTGGGACAGCCACTCCTGCCTGCAGCCCAGCAGGTTTGAAAGGATTCTGGAGCTGGAGGTTCATCTTTGCAGCAACATTTTCTGCTAGGACAAGGAAAACTCTGCCTAAGAGCCAATAAAAAGAAGGACCCGCAGCCAAACCACTGAATTTGGATAATGTGGGATTCGGGGCAAGGGGATAAAATGAGATTTTTCCATCTGAGCTCCCTGTGTGTCCACCCAGGGCCGAGATTTCTGCTCACAGGGATGGAGCCAAAGGTGGAGGTGGGAATTCTCCCGGGATAACTGGGGTGCCACACTCACTTTTCCAGCAGGATCAGGGCTGTGGTGGGGTTCACACGAAGGTACTTGCACGTGGGCTGTCCATAATCGGCCAAATAGGTCGACCAATCCCACTGGATGAACAGATCCAGGAGCTGGAAAGGAAAAACAAACGGGGTTTGAAAAAGCTGGAAAAGGGAGTTGGTGTTTCCCCCTGGAAGCTGGCAGAGGTGGAGTTATCCATAAAAAAAAAAAAATAAAATAAATAAATGAATGCGAGCGTTAAAAATTTTGTTTAATATCGTTCTGTTAGCATTTCGTCATTAACTTGGTTGTACATCGTGATTAATTTAGGAATATTTAATGGTAATTAATGGCGGGCTGTGTTAATTCAGCCATTGAGCATTCCTGCTCTGTGATCCCTATTTTTTGGGAATTTGGGGGCTGGACACCTCGAGGACGTGGGTGACAAACAACCCCAGTGCCCTGACGCTCTCAGCTACGGCAGGAAGAAATTTTTGGGGTCAAAGCCACCCCAAACTTCTCCTGTCCCCAAAAAGCATCATTCTAACCATTCCCCAGGGATTTCTCATCACCCCTGGCCCATCCCAACACCCTCCAAAGGCTCTGGAAGTGTCTCCAGTGCCCAGAGCTCCCCGAGGAGCTCAGGGGGGTTATTCTGGGTGAGAGATGGGAGTCCCAGGTGCTTTCCAGACGTTGGTGAGAGAAACCACCAGGCCTTGGCAGCAGGAGAAGGAAAAAGGGATTAACTCGGCCATCCGTGACCGTCCCTGCTCCAGGCTGCCAAAATTCCCACCTGCAGCCCTTCGTGCCCACAAATGACCCTGCTCCTCCCAGACAGGTGAGGGACGAGCAAACAACAGCCCAGGCTGCCCAAATTCCCTCTTCCCACATCATTCCCATCCTTATTTTGCTTAAAAACCAGGTGCTCTCATGCCCTCCCCACACATGGATCTCCTCACCTCA